TTTTTCCCACTTTTCCGTATTAAGTTTAAGGTTTTTACCTAAGGAAAAAATGTATATATTATACTGATTTTCCATAATAGTTATATATTATAAAACTTAATATTTTTATGGAATTTTTATATCAAATTTTTTATTGGGGCTTGAATCAGAGAAGTATTATTCAGCTTATATAAAGAATCTTGATTATTCTTAATAAATACCAATGCATCTTTAACTAAAATTTATCACTAGAAAGCATTAACTTCTGTAAAGAAATATAATAATAATTTATTAAAATAAAGGGATAAAGTCAAAAATAACGAATTATCCCAAATTTTAGTAAAAGTTTTAAATAGTAAAATAATACCAAAATTACTAGTCACATATATGATTAGTCCCTATAAAAATACATTGTTCATAAATTGTATATAAAAAACTAGTATTTTGAACATATTTTATTCAAAAATCCAGTATTTATTAGTAATTTAAATATAAATTTATTGTGCTTAATTTTAAGTATACATAAATTGTATATTAAATATCAACACATTTTAATTAATATATAAAAATAATACATAATATGGTCAATTAATGTATTAAGTCATAAAATAAACATTGTTAAACAAATATTAACATTAAAAATTCTATAAGTCATATTTAGTGTAATCCAATTTCTTATCGAATTCCTTATTTATTATATAATAAATATTTTTAAATTGAAAAAAACCTACACAATGATTTATAACCAATACATCAATAAATTTATATGCATCGTATTTTTTAAATGAAATAAGCACTATATTATCTTCTATAATATTAGCAGCCTAATAAACATATGCTAACATATAAGTCTGTTCTTCAAATTCATAGACCATATAATATTTAACTTGACTATAAAAATTTTGTAATATATATTTAGGTGTTTTTCAGGAAAATGAGGTTCACTTATCTACTTCCATAATTGCCTATAAATATTATTAAATAAAAAATAAATAAATATACATTGCCAAGTCTTGTACAAATCAGTAACATACCAATATTAAGTAATTAACGTGAGACCAATCATTATTTTGTCTTATCCATTTTGATCCAATTTGATGATCCTCTTTTGTACGTAAACGTCCGTATTTTATACCTAATGAAGAAAAAGACTACATAATATTATATCAAATATTAGTAAGATAAATGATTATTTTGTCGATCTATTTATAAGATTCCGTAATCAAATGCATAAAAATTAAAACTTACATTCAATTTTTGACTTCTGACATTGTAAGATACAGAAAAATGTTCTTTAATCTTCCTTAACTCTGACTGATTAAGAGTATGTCTTTTTGAAGGAAAATATAACTCTTCTTCAGTATTAGATTGAAAATATACAAGATGATTTAGATAATATTTGGATATTTAAGGAGAAAAGATAGTCTTATATGCAACTTGGTAATATTGTAGATGGTTAAATATTTTCCATATATGTACGTTATTAATTATATTTTTATAAGGATGTAATCATGATCAGGTCAAAGAAAGTAACATTCCACAAATCCTTTCCATAGGAAATTGCTATGTGACCTAACATGGACCTGTATTTTCTATACTATCAGCAATATGTAAAAGATAATGAAAGCATAATTTCATTATACTTAATCGTCCCTTTAAATTTTGATAATATTCTCTTAAAATAAAAGTGTAAATACAGTCATATACTTTGATTAAGACGATATTAAAAAAATTTGTATAAGTTTAAATTGATAATACCACTTACTTTTTATAATAATCATAAAAGGATCGAAATAGAGACTGAATATTATTAATATCTTTAAGTGTCAATGATAATTTTTGACACAGACGTACAGCTTTAACAAAATTCGCTCATCCTTTATAATGTCTTTGTGGCATTTTACCTTTCAATAGAGGTAATGAATACATATTAATCCAGACAGCCCACTCTTCGGCTTTATATCCTTTATAATATAACACAATATTATGAGATAGACGTTCAAGATAGGCTGAAAGGCTTTTTCGAGCATAATGCATCTCATTACCAATTGTATTCCAAACGTTCTGACTGAAAACATAGCTATCAATGTCTTGACTACTATCATTACTAAAAAAATTTCCTGTTCACAATTTAAATATATAACATGCTATGTTCTCATATATAAGATGCATTAGATTAATTGGAAAAGAACTAGGAAAATGAGTTGCTTTAAGATCGAAAAGTATACTACGACCTCTTATTCTTATTAATAAAATCATAAATACGTAATATATATTAAATAAATATAACAAAGTTCAGAAAATATTTGTAATTATACTTACCAAATTCTGTTACCAATTTTTTTCTTTTTTTCTCAGTAATTGATTAGTTTAATTGAAAAATCTGATCCTTAAATTGTCCATGAGTTCATAAGAGTAAATTACCAGAATCATATTTTTGGTATTTGTGTTCCTTTTCTATAGGTAATGTAGTTGAAAAATACATATGATTCAAGTAAACATCATGAATATTACAAAAATGACATCCTTTGTACAAATTATGACCAGTTAGATACATAAGTTTTATTAGTTCTAGAGTATCACCTGATCATGATAAAACATGTACGCGTAATAAAAATATTCTTTTTTTAATTCATCGTAACAATATATTCTGGCTAAAAGCAATATTAGAACATACATTAATTATATACAAAAAAAAAGGAAATGAATACTAAAATTAACAAACATTCTAATTCTTTTAGTTCTTTGACTTTAGGATACATAAATGAATTAAATCACTTGGATTCTTTTAGTCCTGGAATGATTGCTATTATCAGGAGATATTCTTTTTTAACATATTCTTCAAGACATATATCATAAGAACTATCCAACAACCTTCTGTCTTTTGTCGAAAAATCTGATAACTATTAATGGACCCTATCAATGCAATATCTCTATCATCTTCAAAATATCCATCAGATAATAGTTTTTAGTATTTGACACCATCAAATATATCACTGATTTTACTATCTGATTCAAAACCTTAACGATGAGTATAATTATATAATATTTCAACCTTTCGAAACCTTTTAAGTCTTGATACTGAATCTTAAGACGATCTTTAATGAAAAAAATGGCCATCTTATGTTGAGGAAGTCTTTTTCCTATTGAATGTCTAGTTTGAAATCTTGACATATGACAATACTCATATAATTCATCATATTTGTATTTTCCTGTATACACATAGCAAGAATTGATACAGATATCCACCCATGTAGGCTCTATTGGAACAATTGATTGTAATGTTCGTCTAACTTGAAATAAACTGACATTGCCACTATTAACTGTCATCATAGTTTGTTAAAATACATCATCTGTCAAATTATAACGAGACTTAACCTAGAATAACCTTATAGTACAAGCCAATTCATCAGATAAGTGTATGTATTCTCTAGATTCTAAATTAATAAAAAATATTTAAATAATGTTTTAAACGTATTGCTTATTTAATTATCATATTTTATACCTGAAATTTCGATATGAGATATATCTGAATCAGAAAATTCATCAGTTCCATTTAAAGATGTTCCATTTGAGGATAGTTCATAATCTATATAAGACTCTTTGAAACATTTCTAACTATCGTCAATGTCTTGTATAGTCGATTCTTCATCAATATAACCTTCGTTAACGGATGAGTTTTCTGCCCTGTCAGATAAACTCGAAGATGCTTCTCCTTCAGATCTTTAAATGTATATTCTTATTAGTGAACATCAGAATATAAACGATGACATTATAACAAAACATATGTAGAAATCATATTATCAGAAAACAATGATTCGGATAGCCCAACAAGGATAGATAATTCACTTTTAGAACTAGTATAAACATCTGAAAGACTTAAAATCGAAGCTGTTTCAGAACCGAAACTTGAAATAAAGTCTAAGACTAATGAATTTTCATCATTTTGTTTATGATATCTAGTCCTAGTAGACTTTGGAATAAATAATCCAATCACTCTTTCTGTATCTTTATGATGACATTTCGAATAGGTACAAAAAACTTTATTAGATTTATCCATATTAAAAAGTATTGAAATTAAAACTATATTAGAGAATTCAATAATAATATAAAAATCATTTTTCTAAAAAAAAAAATCGCTTTAAACATTATTCAATTTAAATAGTTCTGTAGTTAGCCATATGATCAGCATCATTGATTTAAAAAATTATATGATTGATATAATTAACAATTAAGTTTTAACCAGAAATAGACTTTTTATTTGTAATACAAATTAACTTTAACCAAAAAAGAAATAGTTAAAATA